CCTGTCTCCTTCCTTCCTTCCTTCTTTCTCTGTTTCCTTCCCTCCTTCCTTCTCTACCCTGCCAGCACACAGAATGTCCTGGTCATCTCCATAGGCAATTACCCTTCTCTCTCAAAGATATTATCCACCAGTTCCTCATTCCTGTAGCTCTCAAGAGATTGGATAAGGAGTAAGGGAACCCTCTGCATAACTCCACCTTGCACACCCTACGGTTTCCGCAAAACCTGAACATATTCTGGTGCATGCAATCCATGGCCTCATATCTGTGCAAAATCTAGGCTTCCCATGACTGCATGTGTAGATCCCCAGCGTTCACAGCCAGTTAAACTGTTCTCACATTTCATACTCTCCTACTGCCCGGCCCATCACCACAGTGTCTCTTCCTACTTCAGCTTTTTATTTTCCAACACTTTCATGCCCAAGTTGCCCATGCAGCTACTGAACACAGGTTCCTGAAAGGACGGGGATCTTTTTCCACATGGTGCCCTGCTAGTTCTTTGTGGCCATGCTGGTCCCCATGGGTAAGTGAATTCAATACACCCCTCGGCTCCTGCATCATTTCCACAGCTGCTGCCCCAACTGCAAGACCAGCTGTTGACATTGCTCCATTGCCTTAGGTGGATAGGAAACCCCCACTCTCCTGCAAGGGCTTTTGCTATATTTTTTTCGCTTGTGTACAGCAGAGAAGCCTTTTCTTAAAAGACACAGAGAGCACCAGAATGTTTCTTGCCTGTCACAGAGAGATGGAAGAGTCACTACCAAAGCTGAAGAGCTGTCCTATCCTTTCTTGTGTTTCATAGCTTATCTTGTTCCATCTCTCCCTCTTCTCTACTATTCCATTCTGTCTGTTCCTTGCTTTTCCATTTTCATAGAATCATAGAATCATAGAATCATAGAATCATAGAATCATAGAATCATAGAATCATAGAATCATAGAATCATAGAATCATAGAATCATAGAATCATAGAATCATAGAATCATAGAATCATAGAATCATAGAATCATAGAATCATAGAATCATAGAATCATAGAATCATAGAATCATAGAATCATAGAATCATAGAATCATAGAATCATAGAATCATAGAATCATAGAATCATAGAATCATAGAATCATAGAATCATAGAATCATAGAATCATAGAATCATAGAATCATAGAATCATAGAATCATAGAATCATAGAATCATAGAATCATAGTGGCCCTCTTGATAGATCATGCCTCTCTCAATGACTCGGGCACATTTTACTGTGCCAAAGGTGCATCACAGTGACTAGGTTGCTGAGGGAGCTGAGTACAAACCTCTCTCTGCACTGAAGTCTCCTGACTTCTTCCTCAGCCATGCTGCACTAGGCAGGTCAGGCCCTTTCTACTTAGTAGCACCACAGTTTCCTAAACTTCCTTTTCCCTCTTTTCAGTTTCTCCAAAGTGATTTTTCCAGCCTCTCTCCTTCCCTTGCCATCACGCCTTGCCTCCTTCTTCTTTTACTCTCTGTCACACCATATCCACTTTCCTCGCCCCATCCTCTCTTCCTCCCTCTCTCCTCCCCACTCTTGCTTCTGTCTCTCTTCCAGCACACATCCATTCTGCACACATCCTCTCACTTAACTCCAGTCCCTCTTGTTTTTCCAGCCTCTTTCTTGTCTTTCCTTCAGCATCCCTCTATACGTTCCCTGCCGTATTTGCCACATCGCTTCCCACACCTTTTGTCTTCCAACTAAATTCATTCCATACTCTCCCTACAGAATGGGCCATTTGGATATGGGACCTTAGCTACATGACACTGCTTCTATTGCTTACCCCAATCTATTAGGCAAGTAATGTCTTTGCTCCACTGAGGATGTTTCCTCCACAGCCACAAAAGCCTCCTTCACAATTACAGTTTTTCCCTCTTATCCGTGCTGTGTTGGTGTCACCAACATGTGACAGCAAGACCAGACCTCCACCTTAGAGTCTCACAGCAGCACTCAAAATGGTTCATTGAGCATGGGGAGCACTCAGGGTGCCCTGTAGTTTGGACACAGGCTTCATGGATAAAGCAGTCAGAGGCAGGTCCAAAGTGTCTGAGTGGCTCACAGGTGATGCTGAGAGATCTAGGAAAGAGCTGAATTAAAACAGCAGGATATGATGGGCACACAGAACAGTAATACCCACAGACAAAGATCCTGTGGTGTTCTGCATGCAAAAGACAAATCTGCAGACATTTGCATGAAAGTAGGAAGTCTATCACACATGGCACTTGTTCTCTTCTCTGGGCATTTCCACTTGCAGATTTCAGTGCCTCACACCAGTTCAATTGCTTGAGGACTGGAGGGAGCTCCGTGCACACACACTACCATCCATATCTCACTCTGCAGTACTCTTCTGCAGTGACCACTCCACTTGTCTGGTTTGTTTCCTGCAAGTAATCATGTGACCTCCTGGGCAGAAGTGGGGAAAGACAAGGATTCACTCACCTGCTTCACAGTCTCCCTGCCAAAGTGCACACTGGCACCACAACACCTTGCCACCCCCAAACATCAAGGAACTTGTGGAGGATGGAGACCCTTTCCATGGCCAGACTTCTCAGCTGCAATGTGAATTGCCCAGCCTAGCTGCATAAGGGCCTTGCTGCCCAGCCAGCCACAATCTCTCTGAGCACCTCTCATGCCTGAAGTCCACATGCACCAGACAAAGCAGGAGACACCTTTCCCGTGGAGGAACCATGGCTGACTCCTTGTCGCGGTGCCCCAGGGTCACAGGCATGGGCTGTGAGATGGGAAGTGGAGGAGATGTTACTGGCCAGGGAAGGCCAAATTCTACTCTTGGTTGGTGAAAAGGGGTGTCTTCTCCCATTTTCTTGCACCACTGGGGCCCTCCTCTTTACTTTCCTGATCCCTCTTCTCTGAGGGATCCAAAATCATTCCAAAAGCTCAAAGAGAAAAAAAAAAAAAAAAAAAAAAAGAAAAAGAAAGTGGGATACATTTGCAACTGAGGGACATGGAGGAGGGAGGATTGTGGTGCTCCTCTGCTACCAGGACAAGCCAGACAAACTCTCCTCCCCCTTCACACTCCCCACTGCTCTCCCCATCCACACCTGACACCATTTTCTCCCTCTCGCACACTCCCATCCTCACTCTCTTGCACCAAGGCCTCAGGGGACAGCCTCGACTGCAACCTGGTAGTCTTTGTGCTACTGCCACAGGCAGGTTCCTGGAAGGACACAGCCTTTTCCTCATGCTTTCCCATTGGCTGCTTGTGGCCATCCTGGCCCCACTGGGTAAGCGAGCCTCTCTCCCCCTGGAGCAGCTCCGTCACTTCCACTGTAGCTGCACCAGCTGCACACCCAGTTGTGGGCACTGCTGCATTCCGCAAGCCTTCCTGGGCAGCTGTGAATGCAGCTGGGGATATGGCTTCCTCAGCTCCCTCTTTAACGCCATTGCCTCACTGCTTCTGCTTTTGCTTTCCAGGGTGCACCCTGAAAGTCTCCTGACACAGTCATCAGAGTGGGCCAATCTGTCACCCTGAGCTGAGCTGTTCTGACATGAAAACAGATCACCTCTCTATGTCCTGGTATAAACAGACAGAGGGGATGGACAGCAGGCTGCAGCTTGTGGTTTTTGCAGTGAAATTGGGCAAAGAGGAGTTTGAGAAGGATTTTGGTGATGGTCGCTTCAGGAGCACTGGCATACAAGTGGAGGGTCTGTCTCTGTCAATAGATGCTGCCTCAATGACTCTGGCACTTACTACTGTGCCAAGATACACAGTGACGGACGTGCATGGCACATAAAACCATTCTTCCTATTCAGGAACATCCTGACCTTCTCCTGAATCGTGCCTGCAGCAAGCAGGGAATTCTCCCTTCTCATTCCTTCCCTAGCCCCCCTTATCTTGTCCTCATCCTTAGTCTTTCCGAGTTTGCCACTCCAGACCCTGCTTTTCCTTCCCTCTGTCTCACACGTCCTTTCACCTTTTGCCCACATTGCCTTTTTCTTCCTAATCTGTCTTCCATGTCTGTTAAGTCCCTTTCATTGATCCCCTTACCTTGATCAAGTTCTTTTTTCCCTCTTACTTCTCTTCTCCAGTCTTTCTTGCAGCACTATTGTCTACCTGCGTCATACAAGCCTCCAGCCTTGCTCTTGCCTTCACTCACCTCAGTCTGCCCCCACACCCTCCTACACACATTACCTTGAAATGTACTGAAGCTTGCTACAAATCCTGCAGAGAACAAGACACACTTACAGAACCAGGGGGCAGAGATACTGCAGAGTGAAGGCACAACCTTCTGTGAGGAGGTGCATGGGCTCCCAAACTTTATACACCTTGTGGAGTCTCTTCTGCCTGCACAGACAAAGGAGGTGAGCAGTGAGAGCAATGCTTTCTTCCAGCTCACTTGTTTGCTGTCAGCAGTCCAGGAAGCTCTTGACAAGTACGACCAGCAGGGCCTCTGGGGAGCATGTGTAGAAGAGCTGGATGATGGATCACAGGCCATTCCAGCAGTCATTATGGAATGAATGAATCCCATTCCCTGCTGCCCTGTCCCTCCTTCCCAAGACAATTCCTAGGAGTGCAGAGGGACTGAGATGGGGCCACAGCTCTCCTGCGTTCCCTCAAGGGGACAACGATTTGGCTTGAAAACTCTGCTGACCTTACTGAGCATGCCCTGTTGTTCCCATGGAAAACATGGAGCTCCTGCTCTACTGCACCACTGTATTTCCAAAGAATCTCAACTCTGTTATCCTGGCATTCACTGTCAGACTCTGTTTTAGGATGCTGAGGGTGTTTCAGTCAGTGTTGAAAGGCATGAGTGATTGGCCTGGCCTCTCTGCTTGAGAGGATATTTGTGTTTTTTAGGGAGATTTTTCTAATGAGCAGGGGACACCTGCCCAAAAGGGGAAACCTGGCCTACTCTATTTTCTAGCACTCTGCGATCACAATCATGTGAGATAGATAGAAAGAGGAGGGAGAGAGAACTGGCCGGGAGATCCCAAATCCCACTCACAGATGTGGGAATACACAGCCTTTTCCTCATGCTTCCCAACTGGGTCCTTGTGGTCATGTTGGACCCCTTGATAAATGAGCTCTGTTCAACTTGTAGTAGCTGCATTGTTTGTTTAAAACATTTTTTTTTTTCTTATTCAAGACATTTGGAAATCACTTCCAGAGAAGTAGGACTCCCGCATGTATTAGTGTGCTAAGCATGACGCACAGTGACGCAACAGCTAGAGTAACATATCACTACTGTTTCTATGCAATTAGAGCACCTACTCCCAGCACACACAGCTGTTTATTCAGGAGTGCTATTCCTTTGTCCTCTTACTCCTCTCCTCTGCCTTCTTAAGGCTACTTCTGGTTTCTTCTTACTGTTCTCTGCCTTTCCTCCATTTAATTTCCTTACTTGTTCATGCTCTGAATCACCTTCTCACCATCCTCTCTTCAGCTATGGAGAAACATACTCCAACTCTGATGCCAGCCTTTCCTAGAGCTAAGAAGAGCTGTCACTTTCCCCTCAGCTATGCAGCTTGTTTTGCAAAGGGGCACAGAAAAGCCAGGTGTTACTCAGAGCTCCAATCTGCCTGTATAACTGCCTTGGTCCACAAATCCTTTTCAGGTAGATTTTGATTTCTTTTGGCAGACATTTTTGCTCAGCTCCCTGGTGGCTGTGGGTCTGTGACATTTTCCTCCACCCACTGGTTCCTTCTGAAGTTCCCACCAGTGGTCCCATCCTACCCTTACAGCCTCCCCTCCGTGAAATTGTTGCTTCCTCTTTTTGCAGGGACCTCTTTCCTCTCAAGCCAAAGCTACAGGAAGCCAAGTCCACATGGAGCCCACTGCTACTCACCCTATTTCTGTTGAAGTTGTCATGGTCTGCACGAGTGTGGTCAAATTTGCCAGCATTCTGAAAGAACACATTTGACTCAGTCCTCCGAGTCCTTGACAGACTCTCCCTCACAACCCATTCCCCACTGCTTAGACATGGTGTGAACCCTGTCGCCCGACAACACCTCCAGTCTCCCTCTGCTCCTTGCTTCCCTGTCCTTTGTCTCTGTGTGGGCTCTGCAATGCCCTATGGAAAAGCTTCTCTTACCTGGCGAGGCGCCGCGATGCACCCCAACACCAGGAGACAGCCAGCCAGGAATGCAACACAGATGTGTCCCTGCATTGCTCTTCCTTTGCACAGGGGTACCCGTGTCCTTGAGGCAGGGGTTGTGCAGGTTGCTGAGCCTGGCGATGGATTTATAGGGCACTGCCAGAACCTGCCACCTCAGCCCGACCCAAGCCAAGCCCTCATATCCCTACCAGGACCATGGTTTCTTGGTACTGCCAGTCCCCGCCTTGGCTTATCACTGCTTCCTAATCTCTCTCCACCGCTCCCTCTTGCCCCAGTTTGTTTTCTTTTTTTCCACATTCTCAAGTAAGGCTCCTCCAGGAGGCCTCCTCTGGGTGCCCCTGGGAATGATTTCTCTCCTACTTCTGCTGTCCCAACTTGTGTGCTTGTGGAGGAACTTTGTGACACCACAGCAAGGTCTTCCCAAACCACAGGCATAGGGCCTAGTAGTACTGTGCTACAGACCCCCTGGCAGGCATGGGGAGAGCTGCTGGGATCCTGGCCAAGCCATGAACCAAGGAGGAAATGCAGAGAACTTAGTTGTGTGCTTTCTAACATTTCCTCATTCTCCTAGCTCTCAAGAGATTTGGGAAAGAGAAGAGGGAAACCAAGCATTCCTCCACTTTGCATGCCCTCTGGCTCATGCACAACCTCAGCATATTCTGCTGCATGCTCCCACATCTGTGCAAAGTGTGGTCTTTCACCCCCACATCTGTGCAAACTGTATACTTCCTGTGTGTCCTTCTGCAGTGTTCACACACAGCCAAACTGTTATCACATTCATGTTCTCCTACTGCCCTGCCCATCCCCATCCCCACAGTGTCCCTTCCTACCTAAGCATCTCTTTTTCACACACCTTGGTGCCTAAACCGCCCATGCAGCTACTGAAGGCAGTTCCTGAAAGGACGGGGCATTATTGCCTCATGGTTCCACACGGGTAACTGAACTCAACGCTCCTGTATCATTTCCATGACTTCTGCCCCAACTGCATGACCAGCTGTGGACATTGCTCCATTGCCTAAGGCTTCCTGACAATGAACAAAATGTGCAGGAGTCCTCCACTCTCCTGCATTTGTTTTTTTTTTTTCTCCTTTCTTTCTCATGTGCATAAGAAGTCTTTCCGAAAAGAACACAAACTGAATGAAAATGACTTTTGTCTGTCACAGAGAGATGGAAGAATCACCAACAGATCTGAAGAGCTGTCCTATCCTTTCTGGTGCTGCGTAGCTTGCCTTGTTCCTTCTCTCCCTCTTCTCTACTACTCCACTCTGTTTCCTCCTTGCCTCTCCATTTTGTCCAAGCTCATGCCCTGTTTTGCATACTATTGAGTGAGGTAAGATCATCAACCCCCCATCAAGACATCTCTCCTTCTTCTCAAGGCTTCTCCTTTTCCTTTCCAGGGTGGGCTCTGGAACATATGGATCCCCGGAAAAGAGGGGCCTTCCTTGATTTTTTGCCCCTTTTCTTCTGAGGAATCCACAATCACTCCTACAGTACCGGGAAACAAAATCAGTGGGATACAATTTAACATGCTGCTGAGGGGCAGGGAGAAAGCAGCACTTGGGTGCTCCTCTGCTACCAGGACAAACCAGACAAAACCTCCTCCCCCTTCACACTCCCCACTGCTCTCTCCACCCCCACAGGACACCCTTCTCTCTCTCCCTTTCACACACTCCCATTCTCACTCAGTCTCTCTTGCAGCAGGGACTCAGGGGGCAGCCTTCACTGGAATGTGGCAGTCCTTGTGATACTGCCACAGTCAAGTCAATGGAAGGACACAGCCTTTTCCTCATGCTTTCCCATGGGCTGCTTGTGGCCATCCTGGCCCCCCTGGGTAAGTGAGCCTCTCTATCCCTTTAGCAGTTCCATCCCTTCCAGCTGCACCAGCTGCACACTCAGTTGTGGGGACTTCTGCATTCCACAGGCCTTCCTGGGCAGACATGAATGCGGCCGGGGATATGGCTTCCTCAGCTCCCTCTTTAACCCCATCTCCTCACTGCTTCTGCTTTTGCTTTCCAGGGTGCACCCTGAAACAGTCCCCTGACACAGTCATCAGAGTGGGCCAGTCTGTCACCCTGAGCTGTTCTGACATGAAGACAGATCACTACTATATGTACTGGTATAAGCAGGCAGAAGGGATGGACAGCAGGCTGCAGCTTGTGGTTTATGCAGCGAAAACGGGCAAAGAAGAGTTTGAGAAGAATTTTGGTGATGGTCGCTTCAGGAGCACTGGCATCCAGGCTGAGGGTCTGTCTCTGTCAATAGATGCTGCCTCACTCAATGACTCTGGCACTTATTACTGTGCTGAGCAAGATACACAGTGACTGAACTGCTGAGAATACAGAGCACAAAACTAGACATCCCATTCAGGAACACACTGACCTTCTCCTGAGCCAGAGCTGCAGGAAGCATGAAACCTCCCTTGTCTCCTTCCTTCCCTAGCCCCCCTTGACTTGTTCTCATCCTTCCTGTTTCCGAGTATTTCCGAGCAACTCCGGACCCTGCTTTTCCTTCCCTCTTGTCTCACACGTTCTTTCCCCTCTTGTTCACATTGCCCTTTTCTTCCTAATCCTTCCTCCATGCCTTTTATGCTCCCTTCATTGATTTGCCATGCCCCACACATTCTTCTCTCCCATTCCTCTTGTTCCTCTCCTCCAGTCTTTCTTGCAGCACTGTTGGCTAATTGTGTCACACAAGTCTCCAGCTCTTTCCCCCTTCTCAGGACTCTCTGCCACCATACCTCTCCTACACTCCTTAACTCAAAATGTACCGACTCTTGACATCAATTACTAGAGGTCCTGCAGGGTACAAGATGGACTTCCAGTGCCTGAGGTGCAGCGATTTTGCAGAATGAACACACAGCCTTCTAACAGGAG